CAAATCCCCCCAGCTCTGTATGCTCTTGACAACCCGCTCCTCCTCTGTGCCTTTGCACACGCCAGGAGTGTTCATGTGGAAGGTTTTTGCACTGACCATTCCTACTGCCCAGCACCCTTTCTGGACCCAGTGTGACTGGCTTCTGAATCAGATCTCCATGTGAGGGTCACTTCCTTCCTTAGGTCTCTTGTCCCTGAAGGCCACCCCATCTAAAAGTGTCACCAGTCACTCTTTATCATACCTGTTCATTTCAGATTTGGCTGTAACACTCATCGATACTGTACAATATTTAATTTCCTATTTCTGTTTTTTGTTTGTTTTATTGTCCACTCCCCACTCCAAGGTGAGTGAGGCCCAGGAAGGTGAGAACCTTACTTTGTACAAATGTACATGGCAGCATGTGCCTTGCCTTTTTTCTTTCCATAGGTATTTGTTGATCAGCCAGCAGGGGTTCTGAAAGTGAGTATTGCTTTGAAATAGATAACTGTAAGGATTTGTTTGAGGAGTACAGGCTAAGTAAAATTATCACCAGAGTAATCTGCAACCACTGAGGTACAAAATAGAAATCTTCCTTACCACACTCAACATTTCAATAATAAAACCACTCACTCTGAGTGATAAACATTTTATATCCAGATTGTTTGGAAATTACAAAAGATGAGAAAACACATCCCTACCTGTTCTGGTCCAGCTGAAAGAAGATCACACTAATGCTGTCCTGTCAGCATTAATCTTTTGACTGTGATCAGGTCTGGGGCTCACAGCCCTGGGATGCTCTTTCCTGCCTGGCTGCACGAATTAATAAATTCCATTTACCTAGCTTCCATCTACCTAGCTTTTTTTTTATTTATTTTAGCAAAACTTCTTCCTGAAAAATACATAACTTTTAAAGAACAGATTTTCTTTTTGATGCATTGAACCCAGTAAATCTCATGTGCCTCATCTTGGGGCATCAGGGAAGTAATTAAAAAGCAGAAGATGAGATCTGCATTTGTTGTGTCATCTCTGGGGGATGCAGGGTCCTAAGTGGTTTAGAGCTGTGCATTTCATTGTGTCACTGGGGACATCACCAGCACCTGGGGCCTGGTTCCACATGTACTTTGGGGACCTCACCTCAGGCTTTAGAAACAACAAACTGTATAGGGGATCCTGGGAACTGCTGTAAGAAATCATCCAAGCGATTCTGTGCGCACAAGAACCGAGATCACAGTTCAGAGCATGTCCTCTGTGTCTTCCACCCTGGCTGAACCTCGGCTCACAGCCCTGATGATCCGTGTGACCTTGAGCACATTACATAACCTTTTAACACTTCAATTTCCTTTGTTAAGTAAACATAACAAAAGCACTGAACCTTAAATGGTTTACTTCATAGAGGCATTTAGAATAGTGGCTCACAGAAAGTTCTGCATGGCTTTTCATTAGTAGCATTTATATCCCTGGAGGCTATTCATTATCATTTATCATGAATTGAAATAATGTTTCAGTACTTTCTGTCATCCTCTATATAGTAAATGCAGATTTTCTTCTTGAAAATGTTTTTTCATGAAATTCAAAGGGATTCACTTGGGTTAACTATCATAAGCCAGTAATTCCGTCCAATTAATACAGCTGTAGAAATAATCCAGTTTTAAAATATCCACTGGAATTCTGAATATCCACTTGAAAATTTTGGAAAATAATGTATTTTTAAATCATTTTAAAAGATAAATTTTTCAGTTGTCTACTCTTTCTTTAAAAAAATAAAAATAAAAGTAGATGGCCAAGCATCGTGACCCACATTTGTAATCCCAACGTTCTGGATGGCTAAGGAGGAAAGGTCAAACTCCACTGATCGCAAGGTGGAGCCCAGCCTGAGCACTTCAGTGACTTAGGTAGACCCTGTTTCAGAACAAGAAACATAAAAGAGGGTCTGCGGAAGTAGCTCACGTGGGTTCAATCCCAAGTACCCACCCAGCAAATAGGCATTTAGAATTTGAGTGCTTTGTCATTTATTTGGCAATCAGTGAATCATTCAGAAGTCTTCTTATTCTCCTTCTTTGTTTCTCTTCCTTTTTCTGGTTTCTGATGTGCAGTTTCTGTCTTCGGTTCAAATGAAGTGGGAGAGACCTAGGATCTCAGAGCAAATGGCGGGGCGAGTGTCCTCCTTGTCTTGGCTCCTGAAAAGCTGCCTTGTTTCCCCGTTGAATAACTTTTTCCCTATGAAGCTGCTTCCAGGGAACAGTGCAGGGAAACTGGCCGCAGATTGGGGACTGTGGGCTCTGTTGGGGTAGATCCTTCTACTCTCAGTCCCTGTGTGGATTCCCCACCTCCGCTTTGCTATCTAACCCTGTCGTAGTTCCCTCTGTTATTCTGCCCCAGTTTCTGTTTGGAAGAGATTGTCCTTGCTGGGGTCAAGTGTCTTGTATTAGTCTATTTTCTGTTACTGTAATGGAATATCCATGGCTGGGAAGCTTATAAAGAAAAGAGGTTTGGTTAGCTCACTTTCTGAAGAGCCAAGGGTGTGGTACCACCATTAGCTCTGCTGAAGGCCTCATGGTGGAGAGCCTTTGGGTGGGACAAGAAGCCAGAATGTGGCCAGGTCAGGGCCAATGCTGACCTTCCAGTCAGCTTCTTTTGTTAAAGATCCCACTACTTAAAAAAAAAACAAAAACAGACTTTATTTTTTTAAATTATCACGTATTTTTCATACATGCTAACAATATTCACCATGGACAGTTTTTACCTGTACATAACACATCTCAGTTCTTTTTTCCCACCCCCCCATTCTCTTGCCCTCCCCATTTACATGAGCTTTGTTTCCATTTTTTTCTTCTGTTCTTTTTTTCCCTTTTCCCTTCCTTCTCTTGCCCTGCCCCCCTCTCTAGTTCCCCTTCCCATTTGAACATGTTTTTCCTACCTCCCAATATCTAAGGATAGATACTATGCTTATTTACCCTTTGGGTTCCTCACACAAGAGAAACGATGTGATATTTAAACTTGTGTGTCCAATTAACTTCACTTAAGATTATGGTCTTGAGGTACATCCATTTTCCTACGAGTGATTCAAATGTACCCTTTTATGGCAGATTATTGCTCCACTGTATATAGAAAGCACATTTTCTTTCTTTATTCTCCTATTGATGGGCATATGGGCTGTTTAATATGCTATTAAACTGTTATAAAGTGTGCTGCTGTAAACTGGGTGGGCATATATCACTGTGATGTGAGGCTTTTAACTCTTTCAGGAAGATACCTAAAAGGGGAACAGCTGGGTAAAGTGGAACCTCTGGTTCTAGTGTTTGAGGAATCTGCATACCAACATCCACAGTGGTTGCACCAGTCTACACTCCAGTCAGAAATGGAGCAGGATTCCTTTCTCCCCACAGCCTTGCCAGCATTTGTTATTGGTTGATTTGTTGATGAAAGCCATTCTTTCTGGACTGACATGGAACCTTAGTGTTGTTTTCATTTGCATTTTTTGAATGACCAATGGTGTTGGGCATTTTTTCATATATTTATTTGCTCTTTGTACTTTTTCATCTGAGAGATGTCTATTTCAGATGCCCATTTGGTGTTGGGTCTTTCCATTTGGGGTGACTGATTTTTTTTTTTTAGTTACTTATATATTCTTGTTCGTCTTTTGAGGAGTAGCTGGTAAGAATTTTTTTCCCGTTCTGTGGGTGATCTCTTCACTCTTTTAGTGGTTTCTTTTGCTGTGTAAAAGGTTTTTAATTTGATATGATCCCAGTTGTTGATTCTTGGTAGCATTTCCTATGTAATTGGGGTTTTGTTCATAAAGTCTTTGCCTACACTTACGACTTCTAAACTTTTACCTGTTCTATCTTCCAACAGATTGTTTCTATTTTATTTTTTCCCCTCAGTCTCCGAAATCATACTCAGGACCTTGTGTTTGCCAGGCAGGCACAGTGCCGCTGAGCTAAATCCCTGGCTGAGTGTTTCTATTTTAATATTTAGGTTTTGATCCATTTTGATTTTAGTTTAGTGTGTGGTGAGAGATACGGAAGACCTCACCACTTCTTGCCCTGCTCCTACTGGGGACCAGGCTTCCAACGCAGGAACCTTTGGGAGACAAATCATATCCAAGCTCCATTTTCCCTTTTTCTTTAAGATACAAGCATTTCAGGGATTAGGCAGGTACCTGGGAAAGAGAAGAAGATGGTGGAGATTTTGAGGTAAATAATAGCTGTAATAAGAGACACTCATTTATTTCTACTGAGAAAAAAAATACACAGGTAGAAAAATTTAATATTTCAATTTTTTACTGCCTACCCCATCTGAAAAGTAGATACAGAAGCCTTGACTGGAGAACCAGACACATAAACTACAAAATATTATCCAGAGGTCTAGCACTGCTGACCAACAGGTGTCCATGTCCGCGGATGTGTGCATCGATATTTTAAGGAGAACTCCGGTTCTAGGCCTCACTGTTCACGTGGCTTCTCAATCGTTTTGTTTCCAATATGCACAATCAGTGGCCAATGCATGTGAGACTCCTCATGTTGTTGAAAATTGGAATTCAAAGCATTATGTTGTGCATGAAGATTTTCAATAATCCGGAGAGGTTTCTGGATGTGTCTAATGAAGCTTGTGAACCTAGAGATTAAATGCTTAATACTCAGAAACCTCACTCAGCAAGTGAGCATATTGTATAAATTTGTGTGACTACTGAACTAAGCCAGCAGCTTTTGTCGTTTCAGATAATAATTGTACTTAAAACATAAACATTCTGGGTGTTTCCTACTGTTCCCTTTCTGGGGCTTTAATATTCTTGTGCTTGCTATTCCTTGAAATGGGAATGAGTTCTTCCAAAGCACATATGACATGGGTGGACGGGCACTGTAGGGGTCTTTGGGGCTGGAACCGGCCCTTAAGATGCTCACTCTGTAGGCTGGGTATGGCCCTGTGCTTTGGACTTGTGCTTTTATTTCTTGTTGATGTGTGCTAATTTTCATGCAGTTCCAGTTTCCCTTTTGAACACTTCCTCTCTTTCTGCCCTCAAGGCTCAGAATGCCCAGCAGCTCCATGAGCGCATCCAGTCATCCAGCATGGACGCCAAGCTGGAGGCCCTGAAGGACTTGGCCAGCCTTTCTCGGGACGTCACATTTGCTCAGGAGTTTATCAACCTGGACGGCATCTCTCTGCTCACCCAGATGGTGGAGAGCGGCACTGAGTAAGCAGCTTCCATCCAGACTTCCACCTCTGTCCTATCTCTGCAAGCATTGTGGTGTTTGTTACCTACCCTACACTTGCAGTGTCTCGAGTTAGACACCAGGAACTTGGCTAGACTTGGGGCAAGGGCTTTGCCCATAGTGGCAAGGTAGGAGGTTGTAACTTAAATAGCTCAAACTTTTCAGACTACTGAACTAGGTCAAGGTACCACCTTGAAGTAATTTTTGAAACAATTTAACACCTAAATGATTAAATGCCTGTTATTGTTTAGAATGAGGTATAATCAGTATCTATGGAGAACTTACTCTGTACAAAAGAGAAGGAAGTGGGAAAATGTGAAAACTGTGAGTCTCCCAAACCCTGGTGATGACTGATCTGTAGGCAGAATTCCTTTGGTCCAGTTCCTGCCAGTGGGGAGGCCTGGTGGATATCAGAGGGCCTCACAGAGGATGTGACAGTGAACTTGAGCTTAAGCTTCATCATGACGGAGGTGGGCTTGGCTCCTCTGATGAGGGAGCTGATCTTGGTGAGCTGCCCCTGCCCACCAGCCACCAGCCAGGCGAGTGTCTAAAATTGCTGAACCATTCAATGATATGTCAGTGTGCTGAGTTAATAAAGTGCAGACCCATGATAGATACTGATTGGGAAAGAGCCATCATCATTGGGTGCCTACTGATACACAGAGAGAACAGACTGATACTGCTGCTACCTGATGGGGACTGATCTGGTCCCCTCTCTCCCTCGCTCCTTTTCTCTCTCCTGTCTCCCCTCTATTATTTCACCTTTGTAGCTGGTGCTAGTGAAAAAGGCTTTCCTTTTCTTTTAAAGACAGTATGTTCAGTTAGCAGGGCCATTGTCCTTGCAAGAGTGTTCTTTAAAGCTTGGAATTGAGATTTTTACCTTAAAGACAAGTAGAGAAAATTCCTGGAACTGAATAGGGGGAAAAAAATCAAATCCAAGAATGCTGAAAAAGTTGGACAATCTGGAAAAGGATAATTATAAACAGTAGACAGACACTATTTTGTTTTTACAGTTGTGGCTAAATTCCACTCCTGTCAGTGTTGGAAAATATCAGCTTGGAAGGGGTCTGGGGAACTGGGACTCTTGAGTGTTAGTGAATTAGTCCTCAGGGGCGGCCAGAAGGTGGGCAGAGTTGAGACTACCAGAAGGAAGTCCGTAAGCATGAATACCATCATGGCAAGGGAAAAGGACTGAGAAGCCCTACCCTAGATGCTTGGGGGGTGTCTAAGACGGAGTCTGTCACCTGTGCATGCTGGCTGTCACCCTTCCTGGAGCTGCTGCTCATCATCAGAGGGCAGTAGACCCGAGTGCAAGCTCACAGATGCTCCAGGGGGTTTCCACTTAAGGGATATTGTTCACCAGGCAGATGGGATTGGAGCCCTTCTCGAGGGCTTCATTTTGACTTAGTCACCTCATTAAATACGGGCTTTCTTTTCAAACATGGCCCCACATCCCAAAGTACTGGAGGTCAGAGCTTCAAATGAATTTTTTTTGGGGGGATGGGCAAGTTGAATGTGTAGCACTTAGAGGAACACTGTCTCTTTTGTTTTGAATGAAAACTAGTAACTAGTAATTATTTCTCTTGTTAAGATTTTTCTTCTACTTTTTTTTGAGACGGAGTCTCATTAAATTGCTAAGTTGCCCAGACTAGCCTTAAATCTGGAACTCCTCCTGCCTCAGACTCCCAACTTGTTGGCGGAGTGCACCTTCACACCCGGCTAGCATTTTCACTTTTCATCAGTCCTCTTGCCTTATTCTGTAACTCATCTCACCCCGCAGAACTACCCAAAAAAGTAACTGTCCCTGAGACCTAAAACTGTGAGTGGTAGAATGGAATTAACATTTTCATGTTGCACCTGTCTGGAGTCATTATGTGAACCAGAGCGTTTGAATGCCTTTTGTTTTTTAAAATTTTAGCTATTTATAACAATCAGCAAGCCACTGAGACGTGATGTGTGCCTCCATGTTTCAGACAGGTAAACAGAGCACAAGACCAGGTCTTGGACAAATTTTGTTTTGCAGTTTTCTCTTACACTTCCCGTCACACTGTTTCTGAGAAGGATGACTCCTCTCTGGTCCCCTGTGGTGTACCCAAATTCAAAGTCACTGCTTTTGCAGAAGATACTGAGGGATGGGTTTGCAAGGACTCTTTTCTCCATTACACCGGTGCTGTTCTGCACCCTACGAGGTGGCTCATTTTACCCACATCTATTTTTTTCCTGACTTTTTTTGCTCAGTTTAAACAGAAGAAAAGAAGATATTTTTCTAACGAGGAAGCCTGGCTTCTCACTGGAACTTATAGCAAGACTTCAATTAATTACCAAGAAATCTTTGGAATAGAAAGCTCATGAACTGAATAGGCCCTGCAGTGAGGAAGGCATTTAGTCATGATCCTCGGCTCACTTCCAGCTGAGGAAGGAAGCTGGAGCTTTCTGAAGTTGGACTTGTGGAAATTTTTAGGAAACACTTAAGAAACATAGTTGGAATTTCTGTCTTTGCTTTGAGTAGTAATGAGATTCAGAAATTTCTCTCCAGCTTATTATTACTCAGGGCAGTGCTTTTCAAGTCTCTTTCTCGCTGGTACCAAGAGAGGCCATGGGGCAAAAATCAGCAACAAAGGAGCATGAGGGATGTGCCATTTTGCCAGAGCACAATGTTTAAAACCTTAATTTAATTTTTCCATCCTCCTGGAATTTGAAATTCCATTCCTAGTTTTTGATTGGAACATAGACATGGAAACAAATGAAGTTGTGTTGCCTCAGTTTGAGTATGGAAAGGAATAGGAAGGAATGGACGATGTTTTTCTAAAAAAAACATGGTTATCCAAGGATTTTTTTAGAAATGATATATTCTATTGTCTGAAGTAGCGAATTATACTGCTTTCTTTTCCCCTGGTGCCGGGGAATGAACCCAGGGCCCTGGCACTGAGATACATCCCCAGCCCTTTTTCATTTTTTGAGATAAGGTCTTACTACATTGCCCTGACAGGGCTGGAACTTTCAGTCCTCTGTTTCAGTCTCCCAGAGTGCTGGGATTATAAGTGTGGGCCATCACATGCAGCTAATACTGCTCTCTTTTGGAGTTTTAGTATAGTAGGGTGTTCCTCGAGCCTCCAGTCCACAGAGAGCTGGGCAGCTTACTCTGCAGCCCTCCTCTGTTAACCTGCAGGTCATCACTGTGGGCAGAGAATGGGGCACACGTTTCTCATATGAAAGGGCAGGGTACTAAGTTTCCTTCTGCCTTGGGGGAGAGGGATGTGATGGCAAATGACATCTCTGGGGCATGAGCAAGCTGTGCACCACCCTGAGTGGAGAGGCACCACCGAGAAAAGTGAAATTCATGATTTCCAAAGAACTCAGAGGGTCTTTTTGAATTAACTTCCATTTTTTAGGGGAAAATCATATTTATTATTAAAAAAGACATGTAAATAAGCAGAAGGAAAAATGTTTGTAATGTTCTCTTCCATGGACAAGCATTTTGAATATCTTGGTGGGTGTCTTTTTTTGTGTCTCCATTTAAATACACAATATGCATCACATTTATAAAAGTAAAATGATAATATTCATGCTCCTTCTAACTAGCTCTTTGTGCTTAGCAATATTTCTATGTCTCTAAATGTTGTTCTGCTGTCATTTTTGTGGCCTGCATATATCTTCATTTTCATAGCTTCCTGCAGGTACAGTCGATGTAGGATGTGATGTAATAACTAGAAGAATATGCACAATATAGTTAACTGTTCCCCTATAAAAGGATACTTTTGTCACTCTCAGATTTTTTTCTTTGGCCTTTTTTTAATCAACTTCTCTTTGAGGATAATCTTTGTGAATGTTTGAATTACTCTGTAGGAACAAAATTCATGACTGAGGAGACATGTCCATTTTAAAGCTATTTTAAAATAAAAGATGGAAAACTAGCTTGCTGAGCTGTCTTTTTGCAGGTTACCATTCCTTTGGGACAATGTCCATTTCTGATACCCCAGCCTGTACTGAGTTGGCATTCCTGTGGATTTTTCTTTTTTCCTAGGAAAAATAGCTGTGAGTTCTCAGTAATCTAGGGAATTTGTAAATTCTGATTGACTTGTCTGAGGTCATTTCTCCAAAATTTGGCTGTTTGGTGGGAACCATGAAATGAGTTTTATAGTTATTTCAGTGATGTGGGAAGACCCTTAAGTAGTTGTTGTCTTCAAAATAAACAACACGAACTGTATAAGTAATTGGTCCCCTCCCGCTTTGTCATACTTTGGATATAAGTGATGGAGCCTGGCTGATGCTGGGTGGAAAGAGAGAGAGGGAGAGAGGGAGGGAAGAGGAGGGAGAAAAAACTGTCTTCATTACGAACAAGAACAGTCTCATTTTAAATTTTCATCATTCAAATCATTTTTCCCCATACTGGCACCAGAGCTGTTCATTTTTTTGACATTGAGAAAATAGAGGTCCAACTTGAATTATGCTTGTTGAGTGACTCTTTAGCTTTGATGTCACTTAACACTTACACTTGGGAAGGGATCTATAGACTTTATTCCTTGTAGCAAAGTGTGTATTTTTGAGTGCTGGTGTTGGCATGTTCCTGACACCACGCTGGGCAGGTGAGGGGGTGGAGGGAGGTGTGTGGGAAAAATACAAAGATGTATATGACAGTTTTGACTGTGCATGACCTTGCTGGAAATTTTATCTTGGCACGAAAGATGAATTCCTTTTTTAAAAAGCAGTTTCCAGCTTTAACTCTCATTGTTGCTTCTGAATTCTGTGGGTCTTACAAGCCCTGGCTGTTCTGGGAGACCAGGTTAGTCCAAAGCCATGATCACACCACTTGACGTTTACTTTTCAGCGCCCATGGGGAGTTGCAAACAGCTCCCAGACTGAGCCAGAAGGAAGCTGCTGCCTGCAATCTGCATGGTCAGCACCAGCTGTGGGTTGCCTAGTCTTCCAAGCTCCTTCTTCCCCTCTCCCTGTAGGTGCTTTCTGCAAAGCCTGGAAGTCC